AAAAAATTAAAAAAAAATTAAATTAAAATTACTAAAAATTTAGAGTAATCACCCGACCGCGTGTATAAAAGTTGCCTCAAGCTATCAATCACCACCGCTATTTTATTGTTCCTCTTCTTTTGTGCTCTACAATCTACCAAGCATTTCTCTCTTCCAAACTACTGAACCAAATATGGCTGCTGATCTGATCCTCGGTTCTGTTTTGGATGTCACCTTATCCAAGGTGATTTCAGTTGTTAACGAGCAGCTCAACTTAGCTGTCGGATTCGAGGAGGAGCTGAGGAGGTTTGATGGCAAGCTGAAAATGATCCAGGGTGTGTTGCAGGATGCAGAGCAGAAGGGAATGGTAGGCGACCCTGTTCTGAAGTCTTGGCTTGAAGGGCTTCGGAGTCAAGCGGAAGAGGCTGACGATATGATGGATGAAATTGCATATGAAAATCTGCGGTGCAAGGTAGCTCAAATGTCGGAAAAGGTCAGCTACTTCTCTACTCTTTTCAATCCTTTAGCTTTTCGCCTTAAGATGGCGAATAGGATTAAGAGTTTCAATTTAGAACTAGATGACCTTCATAAGATAGCCACTGGGTTAGGGCTGCAACAAATACTTGCAATCAAGCATCCTGAACATATAGAAACCCAACAAACAGATTCCTCAATTGGTGATCCATCAAAAATTGTAGGAAGAGAAAATAAGGTCCTAGAAGTCGTTGAATCATTGATTGACTCAAGCAATGATCAACCTCTCCTTGTTGTATCCATAGTGGGTATGGGAGGCATAGGCAAAACTACTATGGCCAAACTAGTGTATAACAATGGGCAAATACAGCGTCATTTTTTCAAAAGAATGTGGATTTGTGTTTCTGAAAATTTTAATTTGAAGCAAATTTTAGTAGCAATGTTGCAAGCTTTTGATGAAAATGGTTCTCTGTATACCCAAGATATTGTAGTTCAGAAACTACAGGAAAAATTGAGGGAGAACAATTATCTTCTCATATTAGATGATGTATGGAATGAAGATTGGCAAAAATGGGAATCCTTAAGGAGCTGTTTGTTGGGAATAGGTAAAACATTTGAAAGTAGGGTTCTTATCACAACTCGAAGTGAAAATGTAGCTTCCACAGTGGGAACACTTTCGAAGCACATGCATCATCTCGAGATGCTAACAGATGAGGATTGTTGGTATATAATCAAGCAGAGAGCATTTGTCAGCTCATCATTCTCTTCAGAATTGGAGGGGATTGGAAGGGATATCGCTAGCAAATGTAGAGGTATAGCGTTGGTTGCAAATGTTATTGGGGGGATTTTGTGCAATAATATGAAGAAGGATTACTGGTTGTCAATTAAAGATAATAATGTATGGTGTTCAATGGAAGAAGCTGGGGGAGTTCTAGGAGTGTTGCAGTTGAGTCTCAATCGCTTGCCAATACCTGCTTTGAAACAATGTTTTGCTTTCTGTTCTATTTTTCCTAAAGATTTTGTCATTGAAAAGGAGATGTTAATCCAGCTCTGGATGGCTGAAGGATTTCTTCAACCATTTAGTGAAACACACTTGGAGATGGAGGATATTGGTGATAAGTATTTCAATGCATTGTCATCATATTCTTTATTTCAAGATGTTGAAAGAGATTCTTATGGGAGCATTATTACTTGCAAAATGCATGATTTAATTCATGATCTTGCACAATCTGTTTCAAAGTCCCAAACTTTGATTTTGGAAGATGGTAGCGGAAGAAATATTCCTGCAAACATTCAACATTTGAATGTCATTTCTATTAAGGGTATGGCAACAACAAAATTAGGGGATGTCCCTAAAAAATTGCACACTTTGTTTTCACAAATTGATGTCTTGCACAGTATGTCAACGAACTTGAAGAAGGTGCGGGTTCTTAGTTTCTGTGGAGCTGATATAGATGAGTTGCCAGCTTTTTTGGGGGAAATGAAGCACTTAAGGTTCTTGGATGTTTCAGATACTAAAATTAAAGAACTTCCCAAGTTCATCACCAAGCTCTATCATTTGCAGACATTTAGATTTATGAATTGTGAGAAAATCGATAGGCCTTTGGAAGGAATATGGGATTTAGTCAATTTGAGATACATTTATTTCAATCGGGAGGAGCTTATGCCAGCAGGGATTGGTAGATTAACTTGTCTGAAAACATTGCAATTATTTGTTGTGGGCGAACAGAAGGGACATCAAATTGAAGAATTGGGATGTTTAAGTCAACTCAGGGGAAAATTAAAGATTTGTAATTTGTGTTTGATTAGAGACAAGGAAGAAGCCATGGGAGCAAGACTTTCTGAAAAGGATACAATTCAGGAGTTGCAGTTAGTGTTTGGTGCGGGTTCTGATGGTAGTGAAGATGGATGCAAACATTGTGAAGATATCTTGGAAGGCCTTCAACCTCATGCTAATTTGAAAGGCCTAATTGTTGAACACTATCATGGTAAAAGTTGTCCTGCATGGATGTTAGAAATAAAAAATTCGATGTCAGAAAGAGTGAATTTTCTCAATAATCTGATGGTAATGACCTTTTCTAAATGTCCCTGGTTGGAAAGCATTCCATCACTTTCACTCAGCAATGAGGCAAAGGTGGAAATTAAAAACTGCAAGAATTTAAAAAGCATTGCAGTTTTGTCCCTTCAAAAACTCATCATTGAGGAATGTGGAGAACTGGTTGAGGTAGCGGTTGGAACAGCTGCCATGGAATCTATCAAAGAAGTACATATAAACAGTTGTGGTAACTTGGAAAATCTTCCGATGATTAGTAAATTACAATCCCTCAAGATACTTCATATTCGGCGGTGCAGGGAATTGAAGATAATTGGGGACGATGCTCCATTTGCCTCCACGTGTCTACAAGAGTTGAGTATTGTGAGCTGTGGAAGGCTGATGTCCATGCCCAGGGTGGATGGGCTTTCCTCTCTTCAAAAAATTGAGATGAACATATGTGGGCCATTGAAAAGCATAGGGGAGAGTTTATCTATTGCCACGTGTCTCAAAGAGTTGACTATAGTCCATTGTAATGAGCTGGCATCCCTTCCGAGCCTCTACGGGCTTTCCTTTCTTCAAGAAATTGATATACGCAGCTGTGGGCAATTGAAAAGCATAGGAGAGGATTTATCTACTGCCACAGGTCTTAAAGAGTTGACTATAAGGGTTTGCGATGGTTTGATGTCCTTTCCGAACCTCCATAGGTTGTCCTCTCTTCAAAAAATTGATATACGCAGCTGTGGGCAATTGAAAAGCATAGGAGAGGATTTATCTACTGTCACATGTCTCAAAGAGTTGACTATATGGGAGTGCAATGGTTTGATGTCCTTTCCGAACCTCCATGGGGTGTCCTCTCTTCAAAAAATTGATATACTCAATTGTAGGCAATTGAAAAGCATAGGAGAGGATTTATCTACTGCCACGTGTCTCAAAGAGTTGACTATACGGGGGTGTGATGGTTTGATGTCCTTTCCGAACCTCCATGGCCTGTCCTCTCTTCAAAAAATTGATATATGCCGTTGTGGACAATTGAAAAGCATAGGAGAGGATTTATCTACTGCCACGTGTCTCAAAGAGTTGACTATAATGGGGTGCGATGGTTTGATGTCCTTTCCGAACCTCCATGGGCTGTCCTCTCTTCAAAAAATTGATATACGTAACTGTGGGCAATTGAAAAGCATAGGAGAGGATTTATCTACTGCCACATGTCTCAAAGAGTTGACTATATGTTCGTGCAATGGTTTGATGTCCTTTCCGAACCTCCATGGGCTTTCATCTCTTCAGACTTTATCAATAAAGGGTTGTGGTAGATTAAGAAGTTTGCCAAGTGGGTTACCATCATGCATTGCTCTTGAGAGTTTGGATATCTCTTACTGTGATAAGCTAATCTCTATTCCAGATGATTTGAGGAGGAGCTGGAGCTGGAGCATCGCTAACCCTGCCTGCCTTGCTCGCTTGAAGCGGCTAACTATTGGTGGTTTCTCAACAGAGCTCAAGGAATTTTCAGATCTGGGCTTCATCGAATCTCATCTTGAAGAATTGACTTTGATTGCATGGGGAGAACAAAGAGAACGTCTGCTGGATCAAATTCAACACCAAACTGCCCTTAAGTCTCTCAAAATAAGGGATTTTGATGGACTGGAATCTTTGCCAAATTGGTTTGGAAGCTTATCCTCTCTTCAAACTCTAGAGATTTCCAACTGCAAATCTCTGAAACATATGAAAGCCATCGGATGCCTCTCCAAATTAGAAAGCCTTTATATTGAAAGATGTCCTGAGTTAAAGGAAAGATGCACCAGAGGAAGTGGTTCCGAGTGGAACTACATCTCTCACATTCAAAAAGTCAAAATAGACAGGTGGTCGATACAACCCAGAAGAACTCCCATTAAGGTATCTTCAGCCTTTAACTATATATAATAGTAAATCTTTTTTCTTTAATTCCCTTGTCTTCCTTATTGATTTCAATTATGCATTTACCTTCTTTCAATCTTTTAGGTACTACTGCTAAATCTTTTTTATTTTTGGTTAAAACCCCATTTTGGTTCCTGAATTATTGTACGGACCCCCGATTTGGTCTCTAAACTAAAAAAATCCCTGATTTGGTTCATACTGTTTACCATTTTAACCTCGATTTGGTCCTTCCGTTAAATATCCTTTTACGTGTCTTGTTACTTGACGGAGAAAAGGATGACATGTTAACATTTTGACACCTAGGATGTACAGCGTAGCAAAAAAATGAGATGGCAAGAAATTACCTTAAAAATTTTCTTTTTCTTTTTTTTTTCTTTCTTTGTTTTTCTCTTTTCCCTTTCTTCTTCCTCTCCTTTTCCTTTCACCTTCTACAAACCCTAACATTTTCTAATATTAAATTCGAGAATAACACAATAAACCAATAGATAGAAATCAATAGATCTTTCGATCCAACTGCAACTGGGTTGGAAACAAAACCCAACGCTTACTAGGTTTGAAATCGAATCCGGCATCTACAAGAATATGAGGATAACACAACAGATAACAAATCCATGAATAGATCGAACTCAACAGATCCATCGACTCAACAACTGTTGAGTTTGAAACAGAACCCAATATACAACAGATCAATAAACAAGTGGAACTCAACGGATCCATTGACCCAATGGTTTCTGGGTTCGAAATGGAACCCAATGCCTGCTGGGTTCGAAATCAAACCCAACACCTGCAAGAACCCAACGGCTGCTGGGTTCGATTGCTTGTTGGGTTCGAAATCGAACCCAGCACTTATGCCTTCTTCATCTTCATCCACCTGGAAAAACCCAACGGCTACCTTGCCTTCTTCATCTTCATCAATCAATTTCTCATATCATCAAACAACAAAACCCAAACAAAGAAAACAGGAATTTCTTTTTCTTTTGGAACCCAGGGCTGGGTCTTAAGGAACCCAGCGCCTGGGTTTCATCGAACCCAGGCATGATGAGTTCGCTGCTAGGTTCGGTGGAACCCAGGCATGCTAGGCATCGAACCTAGGTGCTGGGTTTAGTGGAACCCAGGCGTGCTGGGTTCCGTTGGCCTGGGTTCGAAGGGGGAAAGAGAAGGAAAAAGAAAAAAAATTTTTTTAAGTTTTATTTTTCATAATATTTTTTTATATTATTATTTTTTCCATGTCATCATTTTTTTGGTCTCATTGTCTTCCACGTGTATTAATATTTGACATGTCACCCTTTTCCCCGTCAAGTAACAAGACACGTAGGCGGATATTTAACGGAAGGACCAAATCGGGGTTAAAATGGTAAACAGTAGGGACCAAATCAGGGATTTTTTTAGTTTAGGGACCAAATCGGGGGTCCGTATAATAGTTCAAGGACCAAAATGGAGTTTTAACCTTTATTTTTGCAATTTATTTGTAGTACTTAGCAACTAAAACCAAATTTATTATCTATTACCATTGTTACCTACAATTCAAAAGCAAATAAAGTTGATAATTTATTTTCCCTTTCAGTTTATGTAACTTCAAGTTTTAAAATGTTATACTAATAATTTCTCGATTCAAATGCTCTACTACCATTCTAGACTCGTAGGTTGCTGCACAAGGATGATGATAATGAGCAGCAAGGTGATGATAGTGAGCAGCAAGGTGATGATAGTGAGCAGCAAGGTGATGATAGTGAGCAGCAGGTTGATGATAGTGAGCAGCAGGGTGATGATAGTGAGCAGCAGGGTGGTGATAGTGAGCAGCAAGGTGATGATAGTGAGCAGCAAGGTGATGATAGTGAGCGGCAGGGTGATGATAGTGAGCAATTACCAGTGCAGGTTAAATGGTGGAGACGCTTCATTTGTTGCAGAAACTAATAAAATAGAAAGTTAAAAAAGATTCGAAAATTAAAGGCTGGCATCATGGCTTGATAGCCCAACCTAGATCACAGACTTCAATGTTGATTGTGAGGTTGGATTTTATTTGCCAAAGTAAAACCAATTATGCAATTGGTGTAGAGTAGCATCAAAGTTTTACCACTGAACTCATTAGTCTTATTCTAGTAGTGCATCACTTCTTCCTTGGTTTAAGTACCATTTTGATCCCTCAACTTTTCACTTTGGTACCAAAATTGTCCCTCAACTTTAAAAAGTACCAAAATTATCCTCAGACTTTCATTTTTAGTACCAAAATGATCCTTCCGTCAGTTAAATGACAGGTGGCACGTTAAAATGCCAGCAAATCAATTCTTTTTTTACTTGATTAATGACATGGAAAAAAAAAAACACAGTTGACCATCTTTTCTTACAAGGTGGCATTTTTATTTAATTTAAAAATTTTGTAATCCTTTTTCTCCATCCACGTCATCTCTTTTTCCTCTTTCACTTTCTCTCTCCATTACCTTTCCTTTTCCCTTACCTCTGTAAACCTAGATCTGGGTTCTCTCTCAAACTTCATCTTCTTCCTCCTTTCCACCTATCTTTCTTTGCTCGTCCTTCTTCTTTCTTCTTCGTATTCTTCCTCTCTCTCTCTTTTCTCCCTTCTTCTTCCTCTCTTAAACCCAGATCTGGGTTTTAGGATTGAACAAGCAATTGAAGGTATCAAATCCATAATCCATTCTTACCAGATACAATGGAAACAATAGATTAGACAGACCATTAATATTTGCAAGATCATCCCATTTACCAAATCTAAAATGATTGATCTTAAGAGAGCTATTTAGGAAATAAAAATTGTGGCCAAAAAAATCCCAGAATCAAATAATAATTTTTCTCAGTTCCTACCACTTTCCTAGCAGCCAAACAGAATTTCTATACCTAAGAGTTGCCAGATCTAGCTAAATGCGCACTGAACTTCATAATGGATCAAATTCAAAATAGAAATACACTATTCACAAGAAGTTTTGGCGCCGACATGAGCGAGAAAAGAGGCAATCTTCTTCATCTGCGCCGACATGAGGTTTTTTCTTATCCTTTCTCAAACCCAGATCTGCAAAAATAATGTGTTTTGAGCATTGCATCACATTGTAGTCCATGGTTTAAATCCAAACCAAACCTTATATTTGTAGATCTACAAAAATCCAAACCAAATACCTTATAAAGAGCATCTCTGCCACAACAAATTCCAAACAACATAACCACAAAATAACAGTTTTGAGCACTGCATCACGTGGACTCAAGCAAAGAAGTGAATCAAGCAGACTCTTCAATTTCTCAAACCCAAATAAAAGTAGGCAATGGCGTACAGTAGGAATTTGTTGATGAGGAAAGATCACCAGAAGTTTGAGAAAACTCTAGCAAAGAAGTGAATCGAGCATAGAACTCTTCGACGACACCACCGAAGTTCCATCTGAGCTTGTTGTATCAAACAACTGGAATTGGTTATCGAAAGCCTAATCCTACAACCTGCCAAAAGGAATCAAGAACCAAATGGATGATAAAGAAAGTGACAATAAAGCAGAGGCAAAGCAACATTGGGAACGTCTGTGATAAAACCCAGATCTGGGTTTGAGAAAAACCCAGATCTGGGTTTTTCTCAAAATTGTTACCAAAGATAGGTGAAAGATTTACAGATCAGGAGAGTTCAAGATCTTGGGGAAACTAAGAACAGTGACTTGGCTCCTTGGACATCGAAAAATAGCAGAGTTGTTGATCGGTGTAGAACGAACTTCATCGTCTAGGGTTAGCGTCGCAGGGACGCGTAAAACGAAAGACAAAAGGAATTGGTAGAAACGGAAACTCTTTTATGAACATTGTAACCGAAGAGAAGAACATTTGGTTTGTGTACATAAGGGAAGAGGAGAGGACAACAAACGTTGCTTTCGAGTTGAAGTTCTTGAGACAAACCCAGATTTGGGAAAATCCCAAATCTGGAGAGGAAGAAAATATTTTTTTTTCTGACGTGGATGAAAAAAAAAATAATCATTATTTTTAAATTAAATAAAAATGCCACCTCGTAAGAAAAGATGGCCAACTGTGTTTTTTTTTTCCATGTCATTAATCAAGTAAAAAAAGAATTGATTTGCTGGCATTCTAACCTGCCACCTGTCATTTAACTGACGGAAGGACCATTTTGGTACCAAAAATGAAAGTCTGAGGATAATTTTGGTACTTTTTAAAGCTGAGGGACAATTTTGGTACCAAAGTGAAAAGTTGAGGGACCAAAATGGTACTTAAACCTTCTTCCTTCTACCAACTTAACTGTGAGGAAGGTTGTTGCTGATTTTTTTAACATTTGTAAATTTGGTCCTTCCAAGCATTTTTACCTTCTCTTAATGTTTTGTATTTGCTCTTGCAAGATAAAAACAAGACTCAGAGCCAGGCATAAAAGAGGATACAATTTTAAAAAATGAAGTTGCTCAGACAAGTGTTGTGAATGCATGCAAGCGTGTCAAATGTCAATTATGTCATTCTGTATAAGATTTACTTATCTGATGTGTAGATAACATATGTTGTGTATAAAGGTTGAATAATTTTCCAGGCCTCTGGTTCTTCAAATTAAACTGCAAGCAATCAATCTCTAAAACTTTATGTGATGTTGCTGCCACCTTGCTGAAAAGCCAAGGAGCCAAGCACAACAATCATCTCAAAAACCGTGGAGACATTTTAGATTTTTGTAAGATCCATACATCAATTCAGGTAAGCTGTGCTTAGTTTTTCAGACCATGGAGATAGAAATGGGAAACAAGCCAATGTAATTAACTTTTGAATTTTTTGTTCATTTAAAGCATTGGTTTTTCTTTAATTTTCTAGACTGATGTTTGTGGTTATGATCTGGATTGTTGGGTGTTTTAATTTGTCCACAGGAATGCAAAACATGGATTGGAGTTCTTTTAGGTGTCATGGTTTCAATAGGGTTTGATTGCTGTGATTGTAGGCCATCCATTGGCCTTGAAACACATAACCAATGCTCATCGAACAAGCAAAAAGCAATTAGAAAGGCACTGTCATCAAGAGAAATTAAGAATGATTCTGGTATGTCCCTTGAGCCTCAAGCATTTAAGCATGGGTGATAAAAGCATGAAAATGTATATCTAAAGTGTGCTTAACCATAGACATTTGTGGAATTATGGGTTTAAGAGTTATATTTTTCTATAAATAATTTCATAATTGTTCACTCTATTCATGTTGTGCAAAATTTTGGTGATTTAAAGGTTTGATGACTAAATGGAGAGAATTAGAAGAAAAAGGACTTAAATGCAAAGAGCTGAAAAGATGAGGATCTAAGGATAAATCAAAAGTTTAAAGG